TCTGACCCTCCCCCCTCTCATGTGCTCTCTCTCTCTCTCTCATTCTCTCTGTCTCAAATAAATAAATAAAATCTTTAAAAAAAAAAAAAAAAAAAAAAAGTCATCAAACCACAAAAGAAGAGAGCAAAGAAGGAAAAGAGAGAAACTACAAAAACAGAAAACAACAAAATGTCAGTAAGCACATACCCATCAATAATTATTTTAAATGTAAATGGACTAAATTTTCCAATCAAAACACAGAGTAGCTAAATGGATTAAACAAAGACCCATCTATATGCCGCCTACAAGAGACACATTTTAGATGTAAGGGCACACACAAATTGAAAGTGAAGGGATCGGGGCACCTGGGTGGCTCAGTCAGTTGAGAGTCTGACTCTTGGCTTAGGCTCAGGTTATGATCTCAGGGTCCTGAGATCAAGCCCTAAGCACAGAGCCTGCCTGTTCCTCTCCCTCTGCTCTTCCCCCCAGCCCCACTCCCTCTCTGGAATAAATAAAAACTTAAAAAAAAAAAAAAAAGAAAGTGAAGGGATGGAAAAAAAAGGTGAAGAGAGGGAAAAAGATATTCCATGAAAATGGAAACCAAAGAAAGCTGGAATAGCTACATCTATATTAGACAAAACAGACTTCAAAACAAAGACTATAATGGGAGACAAAGAAGGGTGTTACATAATGATAAAAGGGTCAATCCAACAAGAGGATATAACATTATTTTAAAGATTTTATTTATTTATTTGAGAGAGAGCGAGCATGAGTAGGGGGAAGAGTAGAGGAACAAGCAGACTCCTTGCTGAGTGCAGAGCCTGATGCGGGGATTATGGGGATACAGGACTGAGCCGAAATCAAGAGTCAGATACTTAGCTGACTGAGCCACCCAGGCGCCCCAGAATACACATTCTTCTCAAGTGCACATCCAACATTTTCCAAGATAGATCATAGGCTAGGCTACAAATTAATAAATTTAAGAGGATTAAAATTATATCAAGCATCTTTTCCAACCACAATGGTATGAAACCAGAAATTAATGAAATTAGGAAAACTAGAAAATTCTGTTTTGTTTTGTACTTTAATTCTACATATAAGTGAAATCATATGATATTTTTCTCTGACTTCTTTAACTTAGATGCCCTCAAGGTCCATCCATGTTGTCACAAATGGGAAGATTTCATTCTTTTTATGGGTGAGTAATATTCCACTGTATATATGTGTACACACACATACCACATCTTCTTTATCCATTCATCTATTGACGGATTAGTTAGGTTGCTTCCATA